GAATTCCAAGACTTCCAGGGCCACAGGACAAGTGGAGAGAAAGACAATGGTCGTGGGTAGGCAGGACCCCACCTCAGAGGTTCTATCCCCAGGATGGATCTCTGAGTAGGACATGGGCACAGGGGCTGAGGGGAGGGAGAAGGGATCCTGGGGACCTGCAGTACCACCTGCTGAGCTGGAGATGGTAGGGAGCCAGGAAGCCTCAAGGTCCTGGCCTCTGCCCTAGGCCCCTCCAAGCTTGCCCATATGCGTGCCTCAGTTTCCCCACATCTGAAATGGCGACAGGCTCTGTGTCCATCTCAAAGAGCAGCTGTGGAGACTCAGTGAGGGAGTGCTAGTCAAGCACTTAGAGCGGGGTGTGGCACACTTTGTTCTGGTTGGAGCAAAGTAGCATTTGCTGACAGGAAAACTCCCTTCCTTCTCAGCCCCAGCTGTCTCTTCTGGTCAGAGCATTCGGACCTGCCCACGCCCTGACTCAGCCATGTCATCCAGGTTAATTCCTTCCCTGCCTATGAAACCCAAACACCCTCCCTCAGAGTGTTAACGACCCACAAAGCATTTCCAGAGGAAAAACCAACAGGCAGAGACTGAGGCTGAAAGGTCAGGCAGCAGCCTTCGGGAAGATGTTTTCTCTCTGGAGGCCCCTTCTGAGACCCCAGCACTGCACACTAATATGTCCAGCAGGTGCACCCACCTGCACAGATGGCCCCAGCCCCAGCCACCTTGAGGTGGAGCCTGCGCTAACTCGCACAGCACACACACACACTGTGGTGCAGAAATTTTCTCATGTGGGTGTGCGGCTTTGGGTGGAGGTGGCAGCTCTTGGAGGGTGCTGAGTCTGTCCCCCACTAGGGTCTTCTTTTCCTGCCTTAACACGTCAGCCCACATCAATACCGGTGCTCTCAATTTGGGGATATTCTCATCCAACCCCAGCTGGCCTAAATCTTGATGGGGGAGCAGGAAATTCGTTCAGCTTTGGGAGCAAATCGTGTGGGTCCTCGGGGTTTCTGTACGTCCCTGCTGAGCCTTGGTTCCTGTTCTTGCTGACCTAGAGGTCTCTACCCACCCCCACCCCACCCCTGCACCTTCTTACCGTGGGATATTCCATTGTAAAGACTCATGGGGACCCAGAGTCTTCAAGGTGAGCGCTGGAAGGTAGTAACAGGTGTTTATTCATTTTGAAAAGCTGACATACCACGTGAAGTAAGAAAGATGGACAGATGGCAAGTAAGGCTGTCTAGAACCTCCGCAAGCGGCAACATAGTAACAGCAGTGCTGGCACTGGGGAGGAGGCCAGCAAGTTTTTCCAGCGTTTTATCTTGAAGTAATTGTAGGTTCTCAAAGAGTTGCAAATAATGCCGGCGGGGGGGCGGTGTCATCTTGCCAAGCTCCGGGGCTACACAAACCAAACACGCTGAGGACGCCTGCAGAGCCAGGTTAGATGGTGATTTCTATTTCCCTTGTGTTGTCAGTATTCCCAGCATTTCTGGAATAAGCATGTAGCAGTTGTTTTTAACCCCATTTCTTTTCATTGAATTATGTGAGCCACACATCGATCATTCCTCGTTTCAAGAATTTCAAACCGGGCCACAGACAGCACCACACCCCTGCCCACTGCCCTCCTCCTGCTCCTCCCGCCCCTTTTCCGCACCTGCACACACGGAAGTGCCTGGGAAATGGCTACCTCTGGCTGTGGGGGTGAGAGTGTCCCTCAGCTGAGGGCCCAGCCACCCTAGTCGGCTCCAGGAAGTTTCCTTCCTTCCATTTTGTAATTGGTTGCAGGAGTGACGGAAACCACGTCCCCTCTCCCAGCCCCAAGCAGCAGGATCAGAGGGACAGACCTGGGCGGGGGGGGGGGGGGGGG